CTTTTCGCAAATCGACTGCTCATTTTGTAAATTCTATAACTCAGCCAGATAGGTTTACAAAGAAAAAACGAGGTTTTGAGTGCCCTGTCTTAACACCAAATTTTTTCATCACAAAAATTTCTTTTAAAGGTTAAAAGATACTTTTTCTTAATGAGATCGACGAGCTCTATCCAGCCATGTATGAATAAATACAATAAAATAAAATTGTCAATTTTTTAACGTTCTTGTTAACAGAATTTATGTTTCAATGAGAACGAAGATATTGAACATTTTTTCGAATGTAATAGTGAAAATGACTGGGAACAAGCAAACTCACAGGAGGACATATTGGTAAGTTTAACAGAAATTGTTCTCAGATACATAAGTTACGCATTTTAACGGTGAGTTGTATAGGAAGCAAACGATTGGTTAACAGAATCGATAAAATTAGCAAAATCTGTCATTGTGATCAAAGACAAAGGAAAGGTACGAAAAATAGTATAAACACCAATCTATGCAAACATAAACTTTGACTATTTCTAGAAAGATACATTAAAAGGATTTCCTGCTACAATAAAGCAATCGATTCGAAACATACTACCCATTAAAAAAGTATGGAGCACTTTTTCACAACGATGATATATGATGCTAATTTTTCTTTTTCAATAGACAAGTCGGCTCTCTCAATGCAACGATCTATCAAAGCGATGCATCACTATCGATATAAGTGAACTGATTAATGTCGATCCATATTTTGTTAATGACTCTTTGATCCAGAAACTTGTTGATGACGTTTATAATATTCTGATGCTTATTGGTGACGACTGTTCAAAGGAATCAATTGTGAAAGAAGTAAAAGCGCAGCTACATTCTTTGAAAAATGCCTACCAAAAGAATAAATCGAGGAAAAAAATGAAAAAAGAATTAATGTGGCCAACTCGCAAGATCATATTGGTAATACCTGTCCAACGGAAAAACCTGATAGTTCCAGAAGTTTTCGGCAGATGGACAGATTCAGAATTCGTGCACGTATTTTATACAAATGTTTCTCAGCTCGTATCGCCTTCTCCAAACATCGCTGCAATACCGTATGAACAAATGAATATCGATATTGTTGACGATTTACAGCTCGATTTTCGACTGAGAGAAGACCTCGTTGAAGTTGTAATGCCGTGCACAATTAGTAACCATCTGTTCATAAGTTCCAGTGAGTTGAACAACAATAACTATGCAAAGTTTATAAATCTGATAATCAAATTTGCGAAAGATTTCAATATTGAACATAGAATTGATCGATCGACACTACAACGACGTTTAAAAAGTCGCTTACGATCGCTACATATCATTGATCAGCTCTCAACCTTCTCTCAGATCAATTCAGGTCAGTCAGACCATATCAGTTTCACATTCCTACTGGAGACAACAGACGAACTGACTCAAACACCCAGGTTATCCGAAAGATTGCAGAAGAAGAGAGAGTGCATCCAGAACGAGGTAAAGTTATTAATTCATTCATCTGTCATTCCACTTTGCAAAAAAGACCTGACGAGGGAAGGTCCCGACTGTCAAATCGCTTTTCCCATCAAACCTAGTGGGTTATAGGTATTCGATCACGCTGATTCCGAATATCACAATGCCAGCTGCCATTAGGCTTCCAGAGATCCGTTTTCTGGAAAACCAGTTTCTCAGAAACTCTAAAAAATAATCAAGACTTTTCTTAATAAGGCATGATTATAGCCCGCAAATTTCTGATTAAACTGAGACATCTCCCACCTCTACATGACCTTTCTTTGCAAAGTTATAGAATATACAAGAAAAGCCCTATATGTTCATTGTCAGCTCGAAGCTACGATATAAAAGACAAAAATTAATTTAGGGTTTTTCTTGTAAATTCTGTAACTTTGCAAAGAAAGCTTGTGTAGAGCTAGGAGATGTCTCATTTTAATCAGAAATTTGCGGGCTACAATCATGTCTCATTAAGAAAGGTCTTGATTATTTTTTAGAAGTTCTGAAAAACTGGTTTTCCAGAAAACAAATCTCTGGAAGCCTAATGGCAGCTGGCATGGTGATATTCGGAATCAGCGTGATCAAATACCTATAACGCACTAGGTTTGATGGGAAAAGCGATTTGACACTTGGGGACCTTCCCTCCTGAGTGAAATGTACAAGTAATCAGTATTAGAATGAACGGAGTGAGATGTCCGCGAAAAGAATTCAGTTCTGCTTTCTATGATTCTCACAAGAAATGTGTCATACTCTTTAAGAGACTGTTCGCCAGCCCATCAAGCCACAAGTGACAAAATTAGCATATACTTTTTATTTCATATTCGGATTCTACTATCAAGACTGGGGTTATGAAAAATAAAAATAAACTTTCTGACCTACTCTGGCTGAGTTATAGAATTTACAAAATGAGCAGTCGATTTGCGAAAAGCAGCCATCTCTGATATTTTGACTATAACTCCATCATTTTTATCCGTTCTGTTCGAGCAACATCTCATTCGAAAGCGCGATAACAGATGAACAAAATCACATACTTTCTAATTTTTCTGAAGTAGGAAGTGACTGTTTAAAACCCACATCAATTGGATAATTAGAATTTTGAAGGACCAAAATTTTCGAGAAAATGCCACTTTTGATCCTCCAAACAGAATTTGTCAAACAATTCGAAGATAACATGCGATAAAGAATTCAATTTTCCACAAACTGTGTGCAAAAACTTTATTTTAAAAATGATGCAAAATTTTCATTTCTCTAAAATATTCAAATAGTTTTTCACAGTTTGTGGAAAATTGAATTCTTTATCGCATGTGACCTTTGAATTGTTTGACAAATTCTGTTTGGAGGGTCAAAAGTGGCATTTTCTCGAAAAAAATAGAAAGTATATATTAATTTTTCACTCGTGACCGATCTATGGCAAGATACTCGATCGACCGGCAAAGTCTCTCTTAAGTAATACTATTGTGCGACAGATAGGAACGTTCGTTCGTTTTCTTGAAACTGAATCCTGGATGATGCATCTATGTTTCTTTATAGAGTCCAACTCGTGCTCACGATAGTCTCCCTCAGCCTGAGCAACAATATTTATCCTGTCTGTCTATCAATGATCAAACAGACCTTTTCTCGTACAATGCATCCATGGGATCGATATATTACACAGAAGACAATGAAGAAAGCACAAGAAAATATGATGCAAGAGAAGAGCTTAATTTCGAAACAGAAGAAAAACAACGGAAGAGAGAGACAGCGTTGCTAGAAAATCGATACTACGGCGAATTTCTGTTCTGGAAATTATTTTCTTCAACGTCCAACAAAATGTATCAGAGAATATCCGATTTGTGCGAGAAACATCAAATGCCACCACCACCGCTAAGAACTCTTACCGATTTACTTCATTTGTACGAGAGCAAGATACCGATGAAAACCACCGCGCATGGCGCGTACTTTCATGTAAAACACGCAATTGTCCTTCTAACGTCGAGTAACATTGAATTGGTACGTGAACTTCGACGAAGTGGTATCAGTACGCTTCGATTTCGTTTATGTCAAGATGGAACCTGGATAGGAAAAAATTTACATACAGTGGCGATTATAAAATGGTTTATCAAGTAATGGGTCTCGCCGGTGTTGCATCTGCACACCAATGTAACTGGTGTAAATACCAGAAAATGACACTTGCGAATATTGGACCATCCGAGAAGAAAAATGATGATGAAGATGACAATGATTACACGATAAAGAGACAGCCGTCGAAAAAGCGTACAAGAAAACTAAACGGAAAATCGAAAGTTGCATCACCTCAAATTACTCGTGAAAATGTATTTAAAATGTGGTCGGCATTCGATGTCTTAAAAGGTGCTAGAACGCTGGGCGAACATTATGAACAAGTAGACGCTCACAAACCACAGTTTGGATACAAAGAAAAACCACTGTTTCACAATTTTTTCGCGTAAGTTTTTCAATGCGGCTAGAAACTGTCGATATGTAACACGAATTTTCTCTAGCTATGAAGATATTGTTGTCGATTTATTACACATGAAATTAAGAATCTGCGATGCATTGTTGAAGCATGCGATGAAACTAGCTTGCGAAGTTACGGATGAGAACACTACTCATGAAGATGCCAAGCAACAGATGAGAAATGCGCTCACATTCTTCAAGGAGCACGCTAAACAGAACGGCGTAAGTTCATAATACTTAACTTGTTACTATTCTAATGGTAGAAAAAACTTCTCATCGCATATCCTGATAAAAACTCCGCTCTACTTTCTTAAATCTGAAAAGATCAAACATTTTTCTAAATAATTTCATTCGTAACTAATCACAATAAATGAACAATATCACTCTAAATCAGTTATTTTGGACTGAATTTTATTTATAATATGCTGCAAAAAATTATTTTTCTTCCGTAAACGTTCCCAGGCCTTATGTCTCGAATTTGGTACTTTCTTTCTGATGAGTAATAACTACAAATACCGCGCATATTATTCTCTAGATCGTTTCTGTGAGAGAAGGCCAAAGCTTAGATAGTGTTTGCTGATTTTCAAAAATTTATAACAATTAACGCTATGGGAGCAGCATCCGTTGAGATCTGTAACGAGGTTCGACTGCTGAGTCTTTTCTATCTACCAGTACTACATATCTGTAGAGAAAGGTCATTCATATATCACACGAAAAAATAACCTAGATAATACATTTAAGGTATCCGTTCGATTCAAAATTGAAACAATGGATGGCAACCAATTATTGAAAGTCAGCAGTTTCATAAGCGGAGATATGCACAAAAAATACACACAGACGATGCCATTAGAAGAAATATGTCAAGATGTACCAAAAGCGAGAAAACTGATGAAATTAATAAGAGATTTTTTCAGCATTCTATAAATGGTAAAACGAACCAACAGTCGAGCATTTTACCAGCGTGCCTTGACAATCCATTGTGATAAATGGGATCAAGATTTCATCGATCTGTTTGGCTACGAAATGGTAACACCATACATACACGTCCTGGCTTCTCATCTACCGGAATTCTATGGTCGATGGATGGATCTGAACACGTTTTCGTTGCAAGGTGTTGAGAAGATCAATGACCTACTCACCCAAGACTATTTTCGAGCGACAAACAAAAAAGGATCTTTCTTTAAACAAGTGTTACGAAAACGCATTTGTCAATTGCTTCTCAGTCTTCCAAAGAAAACATGTAAAGATATATTGACAGAATTTCAAAGTTTAAAATTACCTGCGTTAACTGTATCGCATATGGAGGAAGACTCGGACGACGAAGACGTAAAATTTTTTAGAAAAAATTGGTATAGAATCGCTGAACAAGATGAATTTGATTAACATGTTTAGTGTCGGTAGATAGTGCACACGACAAAATTAATTTTTTAAATTCCATGTCTGAAAAACATTTGTCGCACTATTATGAGATCATAATAGCCTAATCAAGCTGTTCCGATGATCTGTCAGAAACTCTTTTTGATAATAAGTATCGCCTTTTAATTAGTATTTAGCAACAATTATTTCTTATAATTTTTAGTAAACGCAGTAGTATCGTAAACAGCTATCTCTCAAAAAAAACAAATATTTAATTATTAATATTTATTGTTGTAAAAGAGTTAACAGCACTCACCGACGTTGCTGATTTTTCTACACATTTTCAATATTTTGTAGAGGTAGAAAAAACGTTTTTGTTATGCTTTATATGGTTGTTACTATATTTTTTAATAGTACAACTCCTAATTAGAACATTTTTATTTTCTTCTGCTTTCTTATGTGTTTTCCTATACTTCGGTCTTCAATGTAAGCGGTCATTTGCTCCCATTACGGTTAACATGCGAAACTTTTTAGGCTATTTTGTAATGTTTTTTTTCTTTTCTACTGTTTCTACAATGAGTAAATTAAACTCGTGAAAGAAACTAAATAGAAACGAAACAAATAAGTGGGTATCTCGTTTCAAATATACATGACATATATCCTTCTGTTCTCGCTCTCTCTTTCACTGCGTGAATAATAGAGAAAAATTTGTTCATCATCGTTCTCATTCATCGTTTTATTCTAGCAGTACTGCCTGACCACATAACGGTTTCCTTTTATGTCACAATCCACATACAAAATCTGACAAAAATAAAACCGCCAACTTTTAGAGCATGCTCGACTACCTATTGAATGCTGGTTAGAATTTTTGTGTTGCGTTTCTTTAGTGAGATACTGTAGCAGAAAGTAATGGGTGTCTCCGAGCAAAATCTGTCACTATAGACACACCGTGTGTTCAAACACTTACGTACGATTCTGTTGTTATTATATTTGTTTTCTTTTTACGTATATCAAGAGTAACAGTGTTAACGTATATTTTGAACTATATTTCGTTTTATTTTTCTCTTGCTATCTTTATGTAGAGAAGAAATCAAATATGGTGACTGTATGTGTCATTCCGTGACGAAATAACTGTTGAGGTTTAATTTTTCTCTGGCTTCTAGAGACGTGTAAAAGAAAATGTTTGCTTTTGAAGGCCGACCTCTACGTCTTTTTTCTCCAATTTTAATGTTCTTCGCAGCAGGTGGTGGTCTACAATAATTTAATCTTATTGCCAATCCAACGACACGTTTGCACATGAACTTTTTGAAAAATGCAGGACAATTACATTGACCATCTAACCATTTTACTTCATCCATTGGTAATGTAACATGCCAGATATTAAATGCTTTAGTTTTATACTGATCTAATGAATACCATTTCATTTTTTTCATTCACTTTATGTTTAAAAGAAATACTTATTTCTTTTAAACATAAAGTGGCGAAAAAGTTGATAAAACAATATACAGACAGATGTGGTTGTCCTCGACTTTTTTCTTACACTTCGGGTTACTTTCCTCACTCGTTCGTCAGGTTGAACTAATTATTCTTCTCATACAGACTGAAATAATTAAGGTCTGAGCTGTATTTTTTCGTTTTTTATGAATCATTTTAATCTTTTACAAATAAGACATAGCACTATAGACTACAGAGACTAGAACCATTCAAGAAGTGAAAAAGAATGTCTAAAATTCTTCCACTATTGCATAGCTGAGACTCTTAGGAACCGTATGAAAAAAAGCATTTTCAGTTTATCATTCGACACGGTAGGGATCGGGGCTGTATAATACACTCCACTGCATTTATGTTGTTATTAGGTAGCGTACTTATTAAGAACAGACAGACGTAATATATGTTCCTAATAGCAACACTTCCATTCGAAACGGAAGATTTTGCAAAAGAAGTTCTGATAGTAGATTTCATGTTACTACTAGCAGAACTCCTTTTGTAAAAGCTCCCTAAAAATGCGTATATTTCAATGAGAGTGTTCCTATTAAGTACACAGAACAAGCAAAATGTTCTTAATCCATATGGTACTTAATAAGAACAAAAGAGAGGGGTTTTTACAGCTTGCGTATCTACTGAAAAGTGCAAGTGTTTTAAAAAAAACGCACATGGTTCGATTCACCATTCTGAATAAGTTATCTCGGGAGCATCCCAAAATTTTCTAGGTCAGATAGCAAAAAAGCCCTTTTTCTCCGTTCGTATAAAAGCACGTATGTTTGAATGGAAGTGTTGCTATTAGCAACATATATTATGTGTGTCTGTTCTTAATAAGTACGGTACCTAATAATAACATAAATGCAGTGGAGTGTATTATACGGGCGCGATCCCAACCATGTCGAATGATAAATTGAAAACTCGTTTTTTCATTCGGTTCCTAAGAGTCTCAGCTATGCATATGCAATAGTGAAAGAATTTTAGAGAAAAGTCCAAGAATAACATCAGGATATTGAAATTACTGTGCAGACGCCATTTACAGCTCATATTAGGAACAATCACTTTATGTCTCAGAATATACAGATACAGATATGTCTGTCCTTTTTTTGTTGTATCTAAGCACATTCATATCTTTTTGTATTTTGTCTGTATCGGCAGTTACCCATGTGGGATATCACAGGCGCCATTACTTTTAGTTGCTAATAACGGTAAAGTAGATTCTTTAGTAGATAGATTCTAGAAATAGATTCTAGATAGTAGATTTTTTAGTAAAATTATTAATTTACTTGATTAACCAATGGATTAATTATTTTTGCAACTGAATTACGCTTTATTAATTTTTATTTACTTATGAGCTTTCGAATATTCAATATTCATCACCCGACAGGTAAGAGATTTAAAAACACACACATTGAACAGTTCAGTGGATAATTTATCAGTTTTCTTCTCTTTCTTTTCCTAAAATTATGTGACGGAACGATCGGTACCGTTAAAGATCGACGTTTTAGATCGGAGCGCTCATAAGTAAATAAAAATTAATAAAGCGTAATTCAGTTGCAAAAATAATTAATCCATTAGTTAATCAAGTAAATTAATAATTTTACTAAAAAATCTAACTAAGAATCTCGTAGATGCCTTTTGAAAAATGCACGGTTAGCGGTTTTTCAAGAACATCGAAGTGAATAAAAATTATTTGAACCTCCATGAGACATGACTTTTTCGCGAACTGAAATCATATTTTCAATACTCCTGATTATGTAAAGGCTGAAAGCTTCCATAAACTCTGTCGATGAGAACGACCGAGAGGAGTAGACGTCTTGATTGAACAGAAATCGAAATACCCCAAAACTTTCAAAAGAGAAAATTTTCTAACGCCGATTTTGAATTTTGAACTGAAACGATGGAAAACACGGAAATAACGACAGAAAATTCGCGGTATAGCCATTCGATAGAGAATTTCAAGGACTACATTTTGGTCTATTCGATGTGAGCACAATGCATACATTCAAGCTTATGCTGAAGAAATACAGCTTTTCGAGTTAAATTTTTGAAAGTTTTGGGCCAGTTCAATTTCTGTTGAATTGAGACGGAATCGCAGGTCTCAGGATCGCCTCCTATATACCATTTTGTGGACAATTAAATGGTGAATCTTTTGGAA